CCCTAAACCCTAAACCCTAAACCCTAAACCCCAAACCCTAAACCCTAATTTGATCGAGCTGCCATTGAGTCCATCGCCCCCTTCAATCGAGCGGAAGTTGGAATAGATCCCTGTGCTTGTTCGGCAGGTCCTGAGCTTCCCAGGTGCTTTTGAGGGTTGAGGGTTGAGGGTTGAGGGTGTAGGGTTTGGGGTTTAGGGACTCTAAACCCTAAACCCTAAACCCTAAACCCTGAACCCTGAACCCTAAACCCTAAACCCTAAACCCTAAACCCTAAACCCTAAACCCTAAACCCTAAACCCTAAGCCCTAAACGGTCATGGCCCGAAATAGCAAAAAGCTGGGCCGACTGCTCAGCTCCAGATTACGCCGCTCGCTGCTGCCGAAGGGCCGCGCGCACGTATTTGGGGGGGGCTGGAGGCATGCCAGTGGGGCCAAAGATCCTCAGCTACTGCACAAAGCCCCGCTGCGGTTTAGGGTTTAGGGTTTAGGGTTTAGGGTTTAGGGTTTAGGGTTTAGGGTTTAGGGTTTAGGGTTTAGGGTTTAGGGTTTAGGGTTTAGGGTTTAGGGTTCAGGGTTCAGGGTTTCGGGTTTAGGGTTTAGGGTTTAGGAGGGTTTAGGAGGGTTTAGGAGGGTTTAGGGGGGTTTAGGGTTTGGGGTTTAGGGTTTGGGGTTTAGGGTTTAGGGCTTCTCAAAGCTGTGCCGATGAAACAGGCCTCGTATCGCACCTTTTTGAGGTGTCGCAATGTCAGCTAGGGAACAGGGCTCAGCATCCTTTAATTCTAAACCCTAAACAACCCTAAAACACAAACCCTAAACCCCTAATTGTTGGGGTTGGGGGCTTTGGGAACTTGCAAGGGCTGCTCGCACTGAAAGGCTTGCCCCGAGTTCCTTCCAAAATATTCCAAATCCCTCTAGGCTCATATAGCGGCCTTAATCATTAGAAGAGGGTGTGGGGGGGTTTGTTTGTATAAGTACATTATATAGGGGCCGTAAGGGTATACATACTTTTCTCGAAATTCTTCCGACCCCTATACTATTCCCGAGGTACGCATGAAGGTTGAGCTTTCCAATGGCCCAGGTCGCGACACAATGAGCAGCAAACCAGTGACCCTGCAACTACAAACCCAAAAACCCGAAACCCTAAAGCCTAAACCGGAAACCCTAAACCCGAAACCCTAAACCAGAAACCCTTCAATCCCAAACCCTGAACCCGAAGCCCTAGACTCGGAGTCCCGCAAAATCCGACCGTCGAGCGGTGTGTTGGCACAACTACCTTGGCTTGTTAACCTGGCTGGTTCTTCGTAGGGAATGAGGGAATGAGGTACCCTAAATAATCCCTTAAAAGGGTATGGAGCCCTCATTCCCTCACTCCCTACAAGAACCAGGGGAAAAGCTACATTGGGGCACATGGCATTTGACCTGGGAGACTTATTGACGCCCGCATTCCAGTACAGCACCCTACCTGACATATTGCATTGCGGCACAAATGCCCACCACAGTTGACGAGCTCTTTCTTTGAAACCGACTTCAGGGTTGCCAGCCTGAATCCTCTACCGCATTCTTGCGGAAGCGCGCATGCGGGTACAGTATCCGATACAATATTGGCTCACAGTCGCCTGCCGGCCATGTCCCTCAAAATCCAATACCTCTGAAAAAGACATCAAGAACCCCACTGGTCGGGATAATGGGGGTGCAGGCAGAAGGCCGCTTCAGCAGCTCTTCTTGAGTGCACGGACGAGGGGATGAAGGTGGCGACGCAGCGTTCGCTGCTTGATCGTTCTTCTTGTCCTCTTCAGATGATTGCATGGCGGCCTTGGTGCTCAACAAACTCATGTTCCGGGTTTAGGGTTTAGGGTTTAGGGTTTAGGGTTTAGGGTTTAGGGTTTAGGGTTTAGGGTTTAGGGTTTAGGGTTTAGGGTTTAGGGTTTAGCGTTTGGGGTTTAGGGTTTAGGGTTTAGGGTTCATGCAAGCAATCTCTTCAACTCGGTCGGTAGGCATCAGCACGCATGCCAGCTCAATTGACACACGCCTCACGCCGCACACCCTGCTTTTCCACGCTGCTGCTACCCTAAACCCTAAACCCTAAACCCTAAACCCTGAACCCTAAACCCTAAACCCTAAACCCTCGCGACCCGGCCTCCACGAGCACGAGGTTGATCGAAGCAAAGGCGAAGCTTCAAACAGCTTGATCCCATGCGGCAACGAAAGTAAGGTTTTGGGGTTTCGGGTTTAGGGTTGGGGTTTAGGGTTTAGGGTTTAGGGTTTAGGGTTTAGGGTTTAGGGTTTAGGGTTTAGGGTTTAGGGTTTAGGGTTTAGGGTGTAGGGTGTAGGGTGTAGGGTTTAGGGTTTAGGGTTTAGGGTTTAGGGTTTAGGGTTTAGGGGTTTTTAGGGTTTTTAGGGTTTAGGGGTTTAGGGTTTAGGGTTAGGGTTTAGGGTTTAGGGTTTAGGGTTTAGGGTTTAGGGTTTTAGGGTTTAGGGTTTAGGGTTTAGGGTTTAGGGTTTAGGGTTTAGGGTTTAGGGTTTCGGTTTTAGGGTTTAGGGTTTAGGGTTTAGGGTTTAGGGTTTAGGGTTTAGGGTTTAGGGTTTAGGGTTTAGGGTTTAGGGTTTAGGGTTTAGGGTTTAGGGTTTAGGGTTAAGGTAAGCGTTGCACAAACAGCCTCCGACACAACGCAGCTTTGCACGACATGCTGCGTTGACAATTCCAGCTTCCCCTGAACCCTGAACCCTAAACCCCAAACCCCAAACCCAAAATCCTAAACCCTAAACCCTAAACCCTAAGCCCCACCTAACCCTCCGTCTCGGGGATTGCCTCGCAGGGGCTGTGGCGGGTCGCGCCATGCCTTGACCACAAGCGATTACTTGGAGGTTCATGGTACTTACTAACCAAAGGGTTTTAGGGTTTTAGGGTTTTAGGGTTTTAGGGTTTTAGGGTTTTAGGGTTTTAGGGTTTTAGGGTTTTAGGGTTTTAGGGTTTTAGGGTTTTAGGGTTTTAGGGTTTTAGGGTTTTAGGGTTTTAGGGTTTTAGGGTTTTAGGGTTTTAGGGTTTTAGGGTTTTAGGGTTTTAGGGTTTTAGGGTTTTAGGGTTTTAGGGTTTTAGGGTTTAGGGACACTTGAGTGTTTATCACCCAAGTATAACTGTGCTTATAACCCAATTATTACTTATTAAGGCACTTCAGGGGCACATAATGGGGTTATGAGTACACTTGTAACTGGTTAATAAGTACCTCTAAGTAGTGCTTCAAAGGGTTCGGAGGCTTGGGGTTGAGGATTTGCCATCCATGAGGACAATTCGGGGGAGATTTAGGATTTGGGGGCTTTGAGCTTAGGGATGTCACCGAGGGGTGCTTTCGCGTTAAGTGCATATGAGCTTAGGTTTATGGAACCCTCACACAGACCATGTGCCGCTGATCTATACTGAACTACGAACCCTAGCAAACATGTGATTTTTGCTGCTTCTTAAGAATATAAGTACCCAAACGTTTAAAAAAACACCCTAGCAAAACTTAAAAGCTTTGCAGTTTCTTAAGGTTTAAAGTGCCCAAAAATTAAAAATCATTTCCAAGTATCCCTCAGTGAGAAGCGTGCCAGGGTTGACCAAACGGCCTCAGCAGATCCCTTGCATTGCTTCCATTCAGGTGTGCTTTTACATGCCGTTTAGGGTTTAGGGTTTAGGGTTTAGGGTTTAGGGTTTAGGGTTTAGGGTTTAGGGTTTAGGGTTAAAGCTAAACAGCCTAACCTTCCAAGACAACTGCTGTTCTGTCTCTCCGAAATTTTCCAGTGCCTTCCTAGCTTGACTCATCAGTCAGGGCTACGCATGTTCAAAACCCAGAGTCGCTGAAGCACAAACTTAACCCCACATTCCACACCCTAAGCCTAAAAAGCTGTGTCAGGCGTTAGGGTTTCGGGGCTTGAGTTTTGGAGTTTTTTGCTGATGCTTGCGCCTTCTGGAGGCTTCGTAGAGGGCTGAGGGCGTTGGGGCTTGAAGGCCTGCCCATACGCCGCGTTCTTGGTTCTTTGGGTGTCCAAATTCTTGTCCAAAAGAGAGCGCGGTTGCTAGGGTTTAGGGTTTAGGGTTTAGGGTTTAGGGTTTAGGGTTTAGGGTTTAGGGTTTAGGGTTTAGGGTTTAGGGTTTAGGGTTTAGGGTTTAGGGTTTAGGGTTCTCTTCCTTAAATGAAAGGTACCCCTAAACCCTAAACCCCAAACCTCAAACCCCAAACCCGAAACCCTAAACCGTAAGGAAAAAAGAAACTGAAGGCACAGCTCTTCTGAAGTAAGAACAACAAGGTCGAGCTCCCACATTGCCTCTACAAAGTACTATCCCGACCGTGGCTGTAAAAAGTCACAAATCTATAGCTAAACTGTTCAGTGACCCTTTGGGAAAGTGTGTGCTCTTGATGGTTGATTGTCAGAGAAAAAGAACCCAAGAGCTAACACAGAAGAAGGGAAACAAGCATACCACTGAACAGCCTAGATAAACCTTATACAGTACTTGGCTGCACTCAGGAGGGTAGCTATAAATTAAACTTTAGCTGCCTTAATAAGAAACCCAATAAACCCAAAAAAGGTAAGGATCAAAAGTTACAGTAAAGTACCACAAAGAAACAGTTTATACTGCCCTGCACGACCCTTTTATGAAGCAGCGGACTGGGTGTGATGCAAATTTGCTCCAAACCCTAGACACTAGATCCCACAGCCTGAACCCCAACTCTCGCGTCTTAAATGCTTTAGGGTTTAGGGTTTAGGCTTTTAGGGTCTAGGGTTTTTAGGGTTTAGGGTATCCTTCACACTGTGTCCTCAACTGACAATGCCAACGACAAGACAAGTTAAAGCCTTCAAAAGCTTAAGCCCTGCGGGCCCTTTAGCTCGCAGGTTCAGGCGGATAAGGCTTCATGAAAGCTGGAAAAGAAGCATAAACCCTAAACCCTAACCCTAAACCCTAAACCCTAAACCCTAAACCCTAAACCCTAAACCCTAAACCCTAGATGGAAGCCCCAGAACCCTCAGTCCACACCACTTGTGGCCTCCTTCTCATATGTGCTAGCTTGGCTGAGTCGGTAAGCTCGATGCCAGAACCAAGCAAGATGAATAACGGCCCAAAGAAGATTAAAAGCACCCCAGTAATGGGCAACTTCATCTTCTTCATGTTGTGTGAGCTGAAACCAGTCACGGAAAGCAAAGGCATTGTCAAAATAGTCTTTGTGAAGAGGTCCCTGGATACTGAACCATAGCCAGAGGCTGAAAGTTCGTGCCTGGAGCCAGTGCGAGTTCATCCAGGGGTAGGAAGCAACCCCATGAATTTGAGAGACGGACGAGATGCGATGGCCCTCAAGCAGTGGAACAAGCAACACCGCCAGATTCCAGTCGGTAAGGATCGAAATGTCAAGCATGAAGCCTGGGAAGCCCAGGAGCTATCTTATAATAAGGGCCACTCTTTTTTGGGGTTTGCTTGTTACTTTATAAGGGAACCCGTAACCGTATTATTGATAAGGACACCTTTTGGGGGCTTGTGACTTTATAAGGGAACCCATAACCAACAAAAGGGTAAAGGGCACCACTGGCTTACCAAGAAGCAGGCATTCCAGGAAGTGTACAACCAGATCCACGACAGGGGAAGGCGGCAGCAAAAGTCGGCAAAGGGTACGCTGCTGCTTCCAGTCTGTAGCAGGGTGACATACCAATCAGAAACCCGTGCTTTTAAGTCCTCTTCGGTCGCGTCCAGCCCCTGTAGGTCCGCTTGGGCACGCATGTTGTACTTGCGAATCAAGTCCAGAGGATATTGGAAAAGAATAGCTCCTAGGCTGCACAGTAACCTGAGCTAAGGGAACCTAAACCCCCCAAAAAGGGAATAAGGGTTTATTTAGGGTTTAGGGTTTAGGGTTTAGGGTTTAGGGTTTAGGGTTTAGGGTTTAGGGTTTAGGGTTTAGGGTTTAGGGTTTAGGGTTTAGGGTACTACTGGGGGCATCCTAGGCTCCAGGCAAGGGGGTGCTTGCTATCAGGCAAAGGCCGGCGAGAACGTTCAACGTGCGCTGATGGGCCAAGTCCGTAAGCACCGCCTCCAGAATGTTCACGCTCAGTGCCAAGTACAACACCTTGCTAGCCCAGAAACCATATTATCGATAAGGACACCCCTTTTTGGGGGTTTCTTACTTACAAAGGCAACCCGTAACCAAAAGAAGGGTAAAGGGCGCCCCAAGACACCATGAATGGCCAAAAACGGCCCTTGAGATGGCGAGCGCAGAAAGGATGGATGCAGCCATTCAAGGGCCAAGCTGCTGCGTCTGGAGCACACGCAACGCACAAGGCTGCAACAACTTCCAGGGCGAGTGCAACACTGAAGGCCTTCGCCCAAAAGAACACGTGATTCTCTTCCATCGCAGCTATAGATGAGGGATATGTTACCAGTTCTAAAGGGATCAGAAACAAGAAGATGGCCTTCCACCTGCGGAAAAGCCAGCCGTGGGCAATGACGAAGGTGAGGCAGAGTAGGGACATCCGGAGCAATGGAATCCACCACTGAAAGTGCTCCTTGAGCCCTCTCCGCGCATCCGGCTGCGACTTTGCAGTGGGCGCAGACCGAGCCTGTGAGGAGTTTCCGGTAGAATTCGGCTGGATGGCAAGCTCAATCTGCAGCAAGGTCAACCGGTCCTAGGATGGCCCTTAAGCCCTCTGAAAAATCTTCCTTGGGGTTTAGGGTTTAAGGTGTAGGGTTTAGGTCTAGGGTTTCGGGCTGAGGGTTGAGGGTTGAGGGACATTCCTGAGTATGATCCTCTTAAAGCCAGTAAGGGAGAATATAAACATGTCCCAAGGGCCTACCGAGTGTCCCATTGCTCCTCTGCTAGCTCTCCGCAAACTGCCTGATTCTGGATGTTGTCGGCTGCGCACAGGCAAGGAAAGAGAACTAGCCAGCGCCACGCCATGAGAACTCAACAGGATTGAGCAGATGGTCTATTATAGGACGAAGAACACAATACGGAGTCGGTTCGGTTCGCCCGTTCTGTTCGGGCAGTCGCTTGCTGCGGCATAGATCATGCGTCAGGGCTTAGGGTAACCCTGAATCCTAATCACTAAGTACTAAGCCCTAGACCCTAAACCCAAACCCCCCGTGCACGCAGTGCACGTGCCACTTCTGGCTTGATCTAATTGGGCGTAGAAACTCTTTCCGGGCTGCTCTTCTTAAGGAAGACCCTGAACCCTAAACCCTAACCCTAAACCCTAAACCCTCATGCTGGATTGAGAAGGGGTCAGGGGACAGCTTAGTCTGCGGGAGAAGGCCGGCTGAGATCGGGGGATTGCAGCACTCCTCCCGCACCGAGGGGTTTAGGGGTTTAGGGGTTTAGGGGTTTAGGGGTTTAGGGGTTTAGGGGTTTAGGGGTTTAGGGGTTTAGGGGTTTAGGGGTTTAGGGGTTTAGGGGTTTAGGGGTTTAGGGGTTTAGGGGTTTAGGGGTTTAGGGGTTTAGGGGTTTAGGGGTTTAGGGGTCCTTGTCAGGGACGCCAGAAACTTTTTTTCTTGACCATTGTGCCGGCGCCTGCTCAAACCATACTACTGTAAACTCCAAAAAAGTTGGAACATCCTTACCCCCCATACCCCGAAAGGTATACTAAAGGGAATCCCAGCTCTACTTGCCCTTAACCCATGTTCCAACTTTCTGGAGTTTACCGTATGACACTATGAAGCGGCATTGCTCAGTGCAGCCATCAGCTGGGATGCTGCAACGGCACCGGACATTCCTAGGAGCATGCCAGGCACTCCGTGGCTTGACGCTACCGCCAAGCCAGGAAGCGAGATCAAAGCGCCGAAGAAGAATGTGCTGGTCATCTCAATGCATGTCGCAACACCAGCTATGTCACTGAGCTCCTGTGTGAAACTCGTGTGCATTGACAGGTTGGCCGTCAAAAGCAGAAAGTGCTGAAGGCAAGTCGCCACCATGTAGCCGGCAAGCTGGCTCGGAAGCCGTATGCCCACAAATGCCGTGCAAGCCGCCGAGAGGAGGAGGCAAGGAACGCAGAACCAAATCAAATCACGAGGCCTCTGCCCAACTCCTCCAGCAAAGACGGAGCCGAGCAGGCCGGCTAGAGCCAGGGCTGATACGAGGAGGCCCGCTCGTTGCAAAGGCACCTGGTACTGCGTTTCCAGCATGTAGACATTGCTGGCGTCCAACATGCACATAATGCCCTTGTAGAAGATCAAGACCAGAATTTGCAGCCACCTGCCGTCCTGAAGCACTCGGCGTGCAGATGCGAAGAAAGGCTCTTTGCTGGCTGGCGGAGCAGTCTCTGGCAACGACCAGAAGGACAGAAGGCCCAGCGCGCTAACGACGACGGTAATCAGGAAGAAGCTAAGCCTCCAGCCATACGCGTCGGCTAAGTAGGCCCCTATAACCTTGGTTGCTGAGCTCATAAGGGTTGAGGGTTTAGGGTTTAGGGTTTAGGGTTTCAGCTTTCTAGGGTATTGTGGTATCCCACAAAAAGAGCAAAGTGTACTCACTCAGCTACGAAGTAGCAGGGGCAACCAGTGGACCGAGCAGCATGATTGCGAAGATGCTGCCGTTGGCTTGCTGCCTCTCCACTTCATCGTCGTAGCAGTCTCGGATGGAAGCCAAAACGGCAGCAGCGACGGCTCCTCCTGAGAATCCTTGCAAGGCCCCTAAACCCTAAACCCTAAACCCTAAACCCTAAACCCTAAACCCAAAACCCCAAACCCTAAACCCTAAAACCAAAACCCTAAGCCCTAAACCAGTCCTTGCAAGGCCCGCCCCAGCATGAACCAGTCGTAGGAAGCGGCACTCCCGCATGTCAAGGTGCTCACCGCCAGCACGAACTGGAAGGACCTTTGCAACATCATCAAGCAAAAGAAACATTACAGCATGATTATTGTTATTATTAACACTACTACTATTATTATTACTATTACTATTATTATTATTATTATTATTACTATTGTTATTGCTATTATTACTACTACTATTACTACTCTTGTCTGTTGTTATTATTCTTCTCATGATTACATCATCTTTTATTGTGAGTCTGACTATGACTGCGATTTTACAAAAGAATCTAATCTTGCACTGGCATTAATAGAGTTCGGGGTCTATAACCACAAGTTTAGAAACTTATTCAGCGAACTCAGTTTGTTGGGGTCACCCGCTCTTCTCTCATGCGGTTTTGGGGTGTTTTTTTTTTCAGGCTGCCTAAGCAAGACCGGAAAGCTTCAGACCGTAAAGGGCCTAATTGAAGGCTTGAGGCTTTAAAAGCCAGGGCCCGGAGAATCCAGGAAGCTAAGCTTGGCGGGTTCCATCTAAAGCCTTATCGAATTTCACTACAAGACGAGGCTTGAAACGGGTTCCCTGACAGGTAGCCCACTGGCCAGCCGGACTGGCTTCCGTGAGTTTGCTAGTCACTCTCAAAAAACCAGGAAAGCTTCAGGCCTTAAAGCCCTGATTGAAGGCTTGAGTCCGTGCGGCTTTAGGATAGTTCCCCGCCCCACCCCCCCCCCCACCCCAGATTTGTTTCGGGGGTATCGGGGCATTCCTTATAGAAGGTCCCAGATCTGTTGTGTTCTCTCATTTTTTTTTTTTTTTTTTTGGGGGGGGGGGGGGGGTGAGGGGAGTTTATTAAAGCTAGTGCAACATTAAACCCGAAAACCCTAAACACTAAACCCCAAACCCTAAACCCTAAATCAGGGCCTACTTTGGGTCCTCGGCACAGAATGACAGGCCGTCGCCCCACAACGTCTGAGATGGGCGCCAGGAGCAGCACCCCCAAACCTGTAAACAACCTCAGAATCTGGGTTTCGGGTTTAGGGTTTAGGGTTTAGGGTTTAAAACAAGAAACATGCCACGCTGAATTCGGTTGCACAAATGAGGAGCTGGTGTGTCTGCATGCTGGTTCCCATCGCTGCTGGGGGCACCTGGAACTCGGTCGCCATGTTCGGCATGCTTGGCTGGTACTGGTCAGTGCAAAAAAACTCAATCATCAATGTCAAAGACAGCACGGCTTTGTGAAGTGGTGTCATTCCGCGGTTGCGCTTAAAGGGCGTTTCATCGCCACCCTCCGTGTTTCGTATCGCCAGGTGAAGAAAGATCATGAGCATGATCACGATCACTGCACCTTAGTAGCCCAGTAACCATATTATAATCAGGGCAACTTTTTTGGTTGGTTACTTCAAAAAGGGAGCCCATAAACCAAACAAAAAGGTTTTAAAGGGTACCGCTGGGCTGCCAAGACACCATACAGCATGTGGGAGAGAAGAGTCCAGTACTGCTGCTCGCCAAGTTCGACTGTAGCCTCATGCACAGCCGATGTCTGCAGCAAGCAGAACTCGTCTTGTAACTCGGGCAACGACATGGAGGGTTCAACGCTACCTGGCTGGGGCAAATATGGAGTTCGGTTCGCCCGTGATGTTCGGGCAGTCGTTTGCTGCGGCGTAGATCATGCATTAGGGTTCGGGTAACCCTGAACCCTACCCACAGACCTGTTATGTCAATCGGGGCCTTTAGGAGACAAGTCGGAGACCCTGGGACTCCAGGGCCTAGGGTTTAGGATTCAGGGTTTCGGGTTTAGAATTGAGGATTTAGGGTTTAGGGTCTAGGGTTTCGGAATATTCTGGATGATAGGCAACTAAACACGAGTCCTGGGGACGCAGCTTGCTACAAATGAGAAGAGGATAACCCTCACTATGCGCTAAGCCCTTTGTTTGTAGGAAGACAGGCACCGTTTCATGACAAGTTGCCAGCTTTCGCAAGGCACACAACAAGGGCGGAGATGTTTTCTTCTGCTTGTTCTGGCTCTGCCTTTGTTTCAGGGAATCCGGAAATAAGGGACGAGGGCAAGCAAACCAAACAAACCAAATCACCTCACAGGGACTTCAGGTTTCAGGGTGTAGTATGTGAGGGTTTTCGCTATTCTTTCAGGGGATTAAGGTTTAGGGATTAGGGATTAGGGTTTAGGGTTTAGGGTTGTTCGGGCCCCCCCCCCCCCCCACCCTTTTTAGGGGCGGGGGCGGGCGCGGGGCGGCGGGTAGAGGGCCTCCAATGCTTGCAAGCTGCCGATCGGGCTGCGACGAAGGGCAGCAATACCAAGTCGAGCCTCAAACTTGCCCTAAACCCTCAAACCTCAACCCTCAAACCTCAACCCTCAACCCTCAACCCTCAACCCTCAACCCTCAACCCTCAACCCTCAACCCTAAAAAAAACTCAAACCCGAAATACCCTAAATACCCTAAAGACCCTAGATACCCGAAATACCCTAAACCCTAAAACCCTAAACCCTGGGACCCCAGGCCCTGAATCAAGGGAGGAAGGGCCCACTCTAGGCCCTACAAAGCTTAGGGTTTCGGGCCCAGATCTGCGGGGCCTCCAAACAATAGGGCTTCCCTTGTGGTTTAGGGGTTAGGGTTTAGGGTGTACGGTTTAGGGTTTAGGGTTTGGGGGTTTAGGGTTTAAGGTTTGGGGTTTGGGGTTTAGGGTTAAGAGTCGGGGTTTAGGGTTTAGGGTTTAGGGTTTAGGGTTTAGGGTTTAGGGTTTAGGGTTTAGGGTTTAGGGTTTAGGGTTTAGGGTTTAGGGTTTAGGGTTGAGGGTTCAGGGTTTAGGGTTTAGGGTTCAGGGTTTACTTGGAGGTTCATGGTACTTATTAACCAATTACAACTGTGCTTATAACCCACTTGCAAGTGCCCTAGTATGGTTACAAGCACAGTGAGAAGTACAGTTCTAATTGGTTCATAAGTACCATGGACCTCCAAGTAAGAAGGGTTTGGGTTTTCGTACTGTGCCAAGTGGCCATCACACCGCTGCAAAGCCCGCCCAAACACATACTAGAATCAGGAGTAACCTAGGAATAAAAAGGGTATCCTTTTTTGGTGAAAAGGGGATTATGAGGAACCCCAACCCTAAAAAAAGGAAACAAGAGCCTACTCCGTATCCTAGCATATTTGTACATTACATGCTGCACAGCATGTACAGATAGCTAGGCTTTGCGCCCTTTGTGGAACACACACACACACACACAAAGTGCCCTAAAAGTCAGATAGACTCCTCCTGGCTTCAGCATCGCCCCCCCCCCTTGCTATGCACATTGAAGCTATAAGAGCAGAGGATCTTCCACACGCCCCGGTTTAGGGTTTAGGGTTTAGGGTTTAGGGTTTAGGGTTTTGGGTTTGGGGTTTAGGGTTTAGGGTTTAGAGTTTAGGGTTTAGGGTTTAGGGCTAAGGGTACCCCAACACATATGTCGAGCTGCCTGGGACACGATGCGATGCATGGAGTATTGAGTATAAGAAGCAACCTCAAAGTTGTCCCCAACACCCACAACCCAAAACCCAAAACCCAACACCCAAAACCCAAAACCCTAAACCCTAAACCCTAAACCCTAACCCCAGAAGTGGCTTCTCTAGGCAGGGTTTGTGGTTTGTAGGTTTGGGTGCCCCTAAACATGAGCTGGCAGTTCCCTGCAAGGGTGGCATGAGCTGCACACGAATGCCCCCTGTGCCCTAAACCTTAAACCCTAAACCCTAAACCCTAAACCCTAAACCCTGAACCCTAAACCCTGAACCCTGAACCCTAAACCCCCTACAAATTGTTTAAGGCCTTCGGGCTTCGCGCCAAAACGCTTGTTGGGACTGCACGGATGTAGACCTCATAAACCTTCAACCCCGAACTTAAACACCAACCTCAAACCTCAAACCTCAAACCCAAACCTCAAACCCCAAACCCAAGAACCCCAAACCCTAAACCATAAACCCAAAAGCCACTGAGCCCTCCGCTTTTGGCGTCCCCTGCCGGCTGCTTCGATGATCTGGCATCTGCCGGGTGGTGTCGCAACCTCGTCCCTTTAAAGGGTGTTTAGGGTTTGGGGTTTGGAGTTTAGGGTTTAGGGTTTAAGGGGTTAAGGGGTTAAGGGGTTAAGGGGTTAAGGGGTTAAGGGGTTTAGGGGTTTAGGGGTTTAGGGGTTTAGGGGTTTAGGGGTTTAGGGGTTTAGGGTTTAGGGGGACTCAACGAATTTTATAATGATCACATCCCAGCTTCAAAAAAAGCAGACAGACTCTGACATAATAATAGGAGTGATCGTATATATATATATTTATTTAAAAACATAAATACATAAATCTCTAAAATATCTATATATCTTTATCAACAATGCTTTGTATGATCAGTTTCGGTTGATATATCATGTTTGTTAAGAACAATCCGATAAAACAAAAAAAAACTGGACCCGAATCATAATCGGAAATCAATAGTGAGACGTTCTCCAGCCACAATACAAACAAGCCTTCTGCAACCACAATACAAGAGACACCCACCCGCAATATCCATTTGGGTGGTTGTCAAAATTATGGTCCCTTTTTGGGTCCCTATTATAATACGGCACCTAATATTTAGGGTACCCCAAAAGGGATCATAATTTTGACAACCACCCATTTACAAAACCGGAACCAGGAGTTGTCACGAGTGCGGGAACATGAGCACGTGCTTGGCAAGGAGATGATTCGATGATCGATCCAGACGTTGCACCCAAAACCAGGAGGGGTGCAGTTTCGACGAAGGGACGAAGGTTCGACGAAAGTCGGCGGCCACCCTAAACCCTAGACCCTAAACCCCAAGCAAGCGAGCTTTGTCCAAAGTTCAGGTGATGGTCGCACTTCGGGGGCTTCCTCCCGTGATGCGCCAGATTTAAAAAAAACAAGTTATGATCCAAAGAGCTTTCCTTTCCCGACAATTCATCTAACTTTATATACGGACTCGACTACACATGTCACCCACGGTTCCTCAACAGACTACTGCAGCTTCCTTTGTGCGCTAGCCACAAGAGTCTCTGCAGGGCAGCACTCTTGCGGTCCCACTTGGGAACTCAGGCTAATGTGGGAGCCTGAAATAATTAGAATGAGGTTTTGGGGGGTTGTTGTAGTATAATTACAAAGGGACCACAAGGGAAGACTATGAGTAGTTGACCCCCTATGTTACTCAGGCTGCTGGGGCTCAGGGTTCCGTGCATTTGGATGCGTGAATCCCCGTCACAGCAGCGCAGCTGTTGCAGCTGCATGCAACACCCAGCCATCAACGCCGGTTGCAGTAAGCATACCTATAGGGGCCTTAATAATTATAATAGGGCTTTGGGAGTTATTACCGTCTAACTTTCAAGGGACCATAGTTGAATACTATTTAGTCATTATTCCAAACCCTATATGAACATTCCCAGGCGGCTCAAGGCTCTTAGGGTTCAGGGTTCAGGGTTCAAGGTATAGGGTATAGGGTTTAGGGTATAGGGTATAGGGTTTAGGGTTTAAGGTTTAGGGTTTAGGGTTTAGGGTTTAGGGTTTAGGGTTTAGGGTTTAGGGTTTAGGGTTTAGCGTTTAGGGTTTAGGGTTTAGGGGGGTCAGGGCGGGAACATCTTGAAGGCGGCTGGATAAGCTGTTGAAGGGCCGTCGCGCCCAGGAGTGTTGCAGCCAGCTCGGATTTAAAAAATGAAAGAAGCCGTATGTACAAAGTCCCTAGAAGCGAAGCGCATCCAACTGAAAGCTTCGAGTTCCAGAGGATGCAACTTGCACTCTTCTACCAGGCCCCCGAGAAGCACTGGAAAGTTGGGCCAATGTGGACTTGGGGTCGAGGTCGAGGATTGCTGTTGGGGTTCTCGGGTTATTACTTTTTTTTTTTGGCGGGGGGGGAGCGGGGGGGGGGGGGGGGGGGAATTCGGGTTTAGGGTTTAGGAGGGACAGGGGGGGCTTGGGTGTTTTGGGGTTTCGGGGTTTAGGAACCTAAGCCCTGGACTCTGAGCCCCAAGCCGTAATTCCTCGAGGGTGTACCGCAAGTGCTTTTGAGTCTTTATCTTCTCTTGCCCTAGGCCCGGCCTGGCCTTCGGGGGCCGCAATCTTCAGCGAACAGAAAGACTCACTAAACAAGTGTACCTGGTTTAGGGTTTCGGGTTTAGGGCCTAGGGTTTAGGGTTTAGGGTTTTTGGTTCATTATGGGAACTCAGAAACCCTAAACCCTAAACCCTAAACCCTAAACCCTAAACCCTAAAGCCCTAAACCAAAACCCTAAGCCCTACACCCGACGTCAGGATCTTTGTCCGGGAATGGCTTGACGCAGCTCCTGGGTTCAGGGTCTAGGGTTTAGGGTTTAGGGTTTAGGGTTTAGGGTTTAGGGTTGAGGGTTTAGGGTTTAGGGTTACTTGGAGGTTCATGGTACTTATTATCCAACAGGGTTTAGGGTTGAGGGTTGAGGGTTCAGGGTTTAGGGTGTCTGGGGTGTTTCAAGGGGTGTGGTTCAAGGGGTGTGGTTCAAGGGGGTGTATAAGGATTCTGGGGCTTAGGGATTAGGGTTTAGGGACATCGAGGTGTCTAAGGAATTTCGGGATGGGTTTCGTATGACATTTTGGGGTTAGGGACTTAGGGATTTTGGGGCATTCCGATTCCCTTTCGGGACCATGTGGCAGCCCTTTTGCGCAGTTGGGGCTTCTTGTTGCCTTTTGTGGCGGCGTGGCAGACTCTGTGCTGGCACACGGGGAAGGCACAGTTACATTCTATTCGTCCTGGGCTTGACTTGAGGGTGTGGGGCTTAATTCGGGTTTCGAAGCACTTAACCCTAGACTCTAGACCCTAAACGACAAACCCTAAACTCTAAACCCTAAACCCTAAACCCTAAACCCTAAACCCTAAACCCTAAACCCTAAACCCTAAACCCTAAACCCTAAACCCAGCTGCTAGAGCCCAACCATCCAAACCATGCAACCAGCTGCCCAGCCTTATTTTTGCGGAGCTCATCTGACTCATCTGCAAGCCATGGATACTTTTTGAGCACCTGCGGCGTAGGAGGGTTTAGGGTTTAGGGTTAAGGGTTAAGGGTTTAGGGTTTAGGGTTTAGGGTTTAGGGTTTAGGGTTCAGAGGCCAGAGTTGCAGGGTATCTTGCTATGTACAACAGACTCGCAATTCGGCACCGTTAGAACTGCTAAAATGCCACTGACCGAGCCCTGAACCATCCCAACCCCAAACCCTGAACCCTCCAAGCCCTAAAAAAACTACACCCCGAACCCCACATTCCCACAAAACTACCCCTAAACACTGAACCCTCAAGACAAACGAAATAGAAAGTGTACGCGATATCATTCTGAATTTACAAAGCTGTTCGTCTGAACAAGCTGGCACCGCACAAAGCCCCGTCCCCCAAAAAGGGCTTCAATGCTCGAGCTTCCGTAGATTCCACTGCGTCTCTGGCGGCCAAATGTTTAGGGTCTAGGGTTTAGGGTTTCAGGTTTAGGGTTTAGGGTTTCAGTCTACCCCAACCTCTATATTTGACAGCATATAATTCTGAGTGTGCAGAGCTATTTGTCTAAACAAGTCGGTACTGCAGAAAGATCCGCCTTCAAAACCACAAACGATGGCACCCCAAAAGGCCCCCGGGTCACCCCAAACCAAAAGGCCGAAAATGAGGAATGCGGGAGGCACCCAAGAGGTCCCGGGGGGGCAACCCTAGGCCACCCCCCCCACCCCCAAAAGCATAGCAAAGCCTTTCAGCCAAGACGGTATTGGGACCCAAACTTGTACAACTTCAAAGCGAAGTTCGGCCTGATGCAGGTCGCTGGAGGTTCCCCCTGCTTTCAAGTACTGGGAGAGATGCCCCTCAAAAGCGCGCCGGAGCCGTGGCTCGTCCTGCGTTCCAGGAACGCCACGCAACACAAAGTTTGGAGTTCAGGGGTTAGGGTTGAGTGTTGAGTGTTGAGGGTTGAGGGTTGAGGGTTTCGGGTTTTCATTTGAGAGTTGAGGGTTGAGCGGGGGAATCTGGTGGTGTGGCAGGGGTTGGAAGGCTAGCTTTGGGCCTCCGAGTATTCAAGACTGGAGCATCCGTACCAGAGACAGCAAGGAAAGGGCGTCAAAACAGAGGTGAAGGGCTCCTGCTTCTTGTTTTTGCGCGCGTAATGCCAGGAGTTGCCTCAATGTGGCGGGCCATTTCGGCTTGCGAGCGTCGCAGGACCAAAGTGCCACTAATTCAGCTGGAGCAAAGAGATGTTGATCGTTAGCTTGTGGGAAGACGGGCTTCCAGCCTTCAGTAACTGCTGTGCCTGGGGCTGCCAGGGTAGTCCAGGGGCCAAGATGAACCATTGCTACTTTATGCTACTTCAGACATGCGCTCTAGGATTTCATCCAGCTGCCGAGATCCTCGAGAAGTGGGAGGGCGACAGCAGGCTTCTTTTGCACGTGCTGCCCAACCAGATCTTCTAAGTGAGGCCGCCAGTCTGGACCTGCACTGAAACAAGAAGGCACGAACAAGGTCTCTTTCATGCCGTAGCCTAAAAGGTGGTGGAATTCGGCTTTGGATCTAAATGCGGGAAGTAACTCCATGTGCACGTTAAGCACTAACAACGCTTACCCCTCAAACCTGTGAAAAGGAAGCCCAAGAGCCAGACCTGAACACTGAAGTCATGCAAACGGCGGAAGGCTCATGGCCTTGGGGGAGTGCCCGTCTTGCAACAACTTCAGCATCGTTGTGGAAGAGACCTGAGACTTTGGAATAGGGTGCAGGGTATAGGGTTTAGGGTTTAGGGTTTAGGGGTTAGGGTTTCGGGTTTCGGGTTTAATTAGGGTTTAGGGTTTAGGATTTAGGGTTTAGGGTGAGGGTTTAGGGCTTAGGGTTTAGGGCTTAGGGTTTAGGGTTTCGGGTTTAGAGCCAGAAGCTGTATTGATGAGTACGCCGGCAGGCATGTCCACCCTTCAGACCGCTATTCATTTGGGAGCCATGGATGCCTAGAATAAAAATAAACGGTGCTGGTAACGTTGATTACGATAATGCGGCGAGTAACGTTCACATAGTATTGGGTGCCATTATGACATCAATAGTCATAACAATGTTAACAACCATCACAATATTAGCAGAGTAGAATCATCATCTTCATAGAAAAACAAACTACCACAAAATTAATAAGCTTAAGAACATTCAGGAAACGAATGAGATCAACAACATTGATTTTAATATGAATAGAACTAACGTTCATAGTAAACATATATTCAGAATGTTTATAAACAAAACATTCGTAGCATTGAATATAGGATGCGCATGGCCAACATTGGAGCCTGGCCAACGTCGCGAGCTGGTGTCTTATTGTGTCTGCCTGCGAAGTGAGCGGCATGAGCTGGAGGCGCTCAAAGTTAGTACTACTAAAAAATAATGCAAAAGTGTCAACGATGACTAATACTATTATGAATGCTATGAATAATGGGAATTTTCATCATGTTCACACTATCAGTAATAACATTAATATGAATGAGATTAATGAGGTTAAGAAATTAATGAAACTAACGAAACTAATTAAGTTAATGAAATTAATGAAATTACTGAAACTAAAATGAACTTAATGAAACTAATCAAATTCTTAATGAAACTAATCAAATTCATGAAATTCAAGAACTTAATGAACTTAATGAAATTACTGAAAGTAATGAAATTACTGAAATTAATTAGATGAATGATATCAAACATATCAATGAGATTAACGATCTTCAAAATAGTAACGGTGTTAACAGCTTTCAGAACACTATTGATACCACTAAAATTGGATACTAATACTGTTCCTAATATTCATAATATTAAGAATATTAAGAAGCAAAAGAACAAGAATAATATGAACATTTGACAATATAAACCATATTCATCGTACAATACCAATAATACAAGAAACATGAAAAACCTTAAACATGAATATTTGTAATGTTGGCAAGACAAATGCCAGTATGAAAATTTTCATAGTATTAATAGTTGTATGAATATCCTGAACAGTCTTAGTAATACTGAATACTCATCATATTCATAACGTTGATAATCTTCACTATGTCCATATAGAGAAAACAGCGTTAGGGTTAGTCATGTTTTTCAACATTACGAATATTTATAATAGTTCAAATTACTGACATTGCTAATATTCAGAAAATTACTAATAATAGAAATAACTAGCAATACTAAAAATCTCAAGCAGAAAACAGGACATTCATAATGGTAATTATCTTGATATTACTAACAGTCAAATATTCTTTATCATATTATGAATCTACTAGTTAATACTAATCAGAAGGAAAGTAGCAATATCAATAGTAATAACAATATTGAAACTATTAGCAATATGTGTTTTCAAGTAATAATCATGTTAACAATATTACCAAAAACTCAACATTAACATTGATACCAATAAAAATATTTTGTATGTATCAATAATATTCATGTAAGAAACTGATAACATTGATAATCGCCACAAGTGGTAATATTGCCATACTGATAAGATGAGAAACTATATAAAGAATATAATGAATGATCCTAAACCTACTGCAAATATGAGAACTACACATCGTATTCATCACGACACTGGCAGTACCAGTATTTTGCTATTCTCAATACTGATCATAATACAGTCATGAACAGTTCAGAATACTACAATCATGATGTTAATGATCTTCATAATCTTGATGATAGTAATAAACAGTAACAATGCTATTCTGTAGGATCCTGCAGGACTTTGAGGTCTCTCTCGAGACCCTCTTTGGCCCTTTGGGCCAACTAAGCTGCAGAAGCAATGGGCGGAGCCCGTATCTCAAGTCAAAAGGCCCACCAAGTACTCCCAGAAGTACTGGTTGTCCACCTCCCGGAAAAGGTCGCTGTGACCTTCCGGGGCTTGGGGGTTTTAAGGTCCCTGTGGATGCCAACCTGTTGGAATCGTGGCGAACAAAACCCCCAATGCTCTTTTTGCGATAAGTCGAGGACCAGCACTTTCCCAAGCCCCCTGGACTGGGTTGCTGTTAAGGGTTTTGAAATTACGTTACCTGAGTTAGGTCGCCATTTCTCTTGTTCTATACGTGTTGTGCAATTCGAAAACCATCCTCTGGTCACTTATCATCGTTCCTGAACGGCAACCCGGCTGCCCCTGCCTGGGAAGTCGTAGCCGTACTTGGATTTCGTCAAGAGGCTGTGGAAGCTCATCACCACCGGGTCGGACGCGATGGTATGGGTGCTTGTGCGGGCCGAGGCCAGGCAGTGCAACCGCAACACCAGCCACAACGTGTCTCGAGTTGGGCCAGCAGGGTGGCGGCTGGCACATGACCCCCAGGACTGCACACACTTCGTGATTTTGTCCTCGCAGAGAGCCTGAACTCGAGCAGCGACTGACTCGCCGCATCCTCTCAGGAACTTCGCTGCCTCCCAGAAGAACGGCTTGCTCTCCGACCGCCACTGACCTGTGCGTGAGCTAAACACTCTGAACCGCAGAGGCTTGTTCTTCTACTCTATCTACTGCTTGGCCTCATGTGAAGGCAAACCACGGTCGCGTGACTAGCTTGCGATGCAATCGGACGATGGTACAAAGAAAGGTACAAGTCAGTTGCCACCAGGTTTCAAATCTAAACTGGCGAATGCCATGCATGCATGTGGCACACTGCAGTACAGTAGACATCAATAAACAATTACGAGTAACTGTGCTGCAATCTCGAAATGAGACAGGTGCCTGTGAGGAGGTCGACGATGGCGACCAGCTTCCCCAGCGCGCCCTGACTGCTGCACATGTCACACACACACACACACGCGCACACATCCCTAAGCCCTAGACCCTAAACCCGAAACCCTAAACCCTACGAGGTGGTATTGCTCTTGAGGCTTTCCAAGCAGCAACACACTGAATGCACCATTGAATCACGCAGCCCAGAGTTTCTCTAAACTATGGGCGGTCGTGATAATGAGGCGGCCCCCGTGTTTTAGGGTACCCCCCCAAAAAAGGGACGCTTGTTTAAATTTCGGGAACTCACCACACTGTATTCACCTTTGCCATCAATCCTTCTACGCCGCCCGTCCTGCTCAGACTGTTCCCAGCTGCCATCTGCAAGCAAGGTCGCGGCGTGAACAGCTTTTCCTGAAAAGAGCTGGTGCTGGAAACTTATGGTTTCCAGGGTGTCGGGATGGTAGCTTCCCCTAACTAGGGTCCCTCCGGGACCCTCCCTTGGGAACTAACATGGAATCACAATTTTGATCAAGACCCACTTCAGTTGTGCAAGGAGCTCTCCTGCCTGATGGGACAGCATAAACTCCAAAACCTAGATGGGACGTGGATTATGGGACCGCTCGGTCATACAAGTTTCGATGGCGAGTTCGGTCTTTTGAATTTGCGCATGGGAGAGGGCATCGTTCTCCAAGCGTACAGTGGTTCACAAATCTGAGACAACCCCCCACATGGGGGATGTGGAAGAAGCGAGTCCGTCTACAAGAAGGCCAAGTTGGGTGGATACCTGGAGAATTAGGGTTTGGGAGTTCAGGCGGCTTTGAGCCTCGGATTGCGGATTAAAACACAAAATCCAAGAGCCCTAAGCCCTAAGCCGTTTGCCTCACTCTCAGTCCATTTAAGCCCAGACGCCGGATTCCAGGTACATATCGAAAAGCTCATTTGCGAAGTTGTCGTCTGCAACGTATCTCCCTCGCTCAGGGTTTTTTCGGAAAGCACCTCCCACGGCACCAGGGGCTCTTTGGCTTTAGGGTTTAGGGCTTAGGGTTTAGGGTTTAGGGGGATCTTTTTTGCACCTCAAAATCAGCTTGGCAACCTGGCCTAGGCCGAGGGTTTGAGATTCGGAGTTTACTGAAGCTGCACGGCACCTCCAGTCTGCTGGGTGTGGCATGCGAACTGGTGCAGCAGAAGGAACCCCTGAACCAGGAACCCTACCTCAACCGAATAAATACGTAGAGCCTAAGCCCTGCCAAATGTTCTAGCCTCCTACCTTGAACCCAAATTCCCAAATCCCAAACCCTCCTCAATCTCATGGCACAAAACCCGGCCCAAAACCCCAAAACCCTACACCCTAAACCCTAAACAAGACCGTCATGAATTCCACACCCCCTTGCCTGCTTCCAGGATCTGCAGCACTTCCTTCCCATCGCACAAGGCCTCCATGCACAGCCTCCTTGGAGCAACCTGGGCTTAGGGTTTAGGGTTTAGGGTTCAGGGTTCAGGGTTTAGGGTTTGGGTTTAGGGTTTAGGGTTTAGGGATGAGAGTCAGGGTTTAGGGTTTAGGGAGTAGGGTCTAGGGTACCTAAACCCCTAACCCTGAACCCGTAAGGGCCCATCTGCCGTGAAGCAAGAAAGATATCACCAAAACCTAAACCCTGCACCCCACACCCCCTGCACCTCCCGTTTTCAATATCTTGAGATTAGGGTTCCCAGTGTAAAATATTCCAACTTGGGCAGCGAAGGGTTCAGGGGTCCTGCCAGCCTTCAAACACCCCGGCCCTCTGAACCCTACAGGAAAAAACCCTATGCCCTAAACCCTAAATGCTAAACCCTAAACCCTAAACCCTGAACCCTGAATCCTAAACCGTACACCCTAAACCCTAAATCCCATTTGTCTTTACAAGTTTGCTTCACTTTTAGATCCTGGGCCTCGATGTGCAATTCTCTCCAAGCTTGAAGTTGGCGTGCGATCTTGTGGAGCTTCTCTGCCTTCGCGGTTTAGGGTTTAGGGTTTAGGGTTTAGGGTTTAGGGTTTAGGGTTTAGGGTTTAGGGTTTAGGGTTTCGGGTTTCGGGTTTCGGGTTTCGGGTTTAGTGTTTAGGGGCTTGTGGAGGGCGTTGGGAGGGCTTTCATGACGGTTGTCTGGAGGGCTTATGGAGATCCATTAGAGTTTTGGGGGTTGCGGGTTCAGCATGAATAACGGGGCACCCTAAACGCCATACCGAAACCCAAACCCTAAGCTCTGCCTTCTCTGCGGCTTGGGAAACACACCCACTACTTGTCACCCTCAAGCCGCAAGCCCAGCAACCAGGCAAACTAGCGACCTGGCCATCATGTGATTGATGTCGTGGAACACAGCTTCATCCTTAAACCCATAGCCCTTCATGGCCCAGTGGCCATGGCCAGCAGGAGTATGTAGGTTCGCATATGTCCCAGCACCTCCTCTTCAGGCAATCTGCGAGCGTGCGAACGGTGTGTAGCTGAGTGCGTTACGTCACAGTTACGGCAGAATCGGACCGGCTGGTGAGGAGGGGATTTTGAAGTCCTACCCGGGACTTGAAGGTTCATGGGTCGGTGTATGTAGGTTTGCATGCACCTGTGAAATTCGGGGCTCAACAAACCCCGCGAATAACTTATACTTGCCAGATGTACCTTCAAGCTTCCCGACAACTTACACTTGTGTGCCACATATTCTCGCCTATACCCAGACGCAAGACATAACCCTGACCGCCAAACCCAAAAAAACCTACTCTGGGCTGTCGACTCACGCTTCTACCCTAAACCTTACAGCCCTCAACCCTAACACGCCCAAAGCCTTTGTGAACCCTAAAAGTCCAAAACCCAAAACCCAAAACCCAAAACCCTAAACCCTAAACCCTAAACCCTAAACCCCAACCCCTAACCCCTAACCCCTGAACCCAACTCCCCCCCCCCCCCACCGCAACCCCTTCAGTACAAGACCGACTCCTCGGAAGGCTGTCGATTGGAGCTTGGCTGCACCGGCGACATCGTGAGATCTGAACCTCAGCTTGAGGGTTTTGGGTTTGGAGTTTAGGGTTTAGGGTTGAGGATATTGAGGTTGTTTAGGGTATTTAGGGTCCAGAAGTCTTCGGGTTGAGGGTTTTGAGTCCACTTGGGGTTTAGGCGGGTGCTGCATGCTGTTTGGGGTGTAGCGCTTTTCGGGTTGAGGGTTTTGGGCTTAAGGCTTCAGGCCCAGTCATCTTAAGGAGCAGTCCACGCGTCAGTTTCCCTGCCCTACACCCAAGCTCTAAACTTTCGAAAACCTCCTTTCGGGCGTTGAAAGTCCGAGCCGCCCCGGCAAATGGGGCACTTGGCGTTCGAATGGCTGCGCAAGTAGCCTGACTGCTGGCACAGGTTAAGGCAGGTTTACGATTTCACAGGGCTTCGTGTGAAGACTGACAAACTGGGCCCGTTTAGGGTGCACCGATACATAGGCCCGTGCTATGCTGAAAATCCACAGGGACCCCCGAATTAGAGAACCTATTTACCATTTGGTTCACGCATGGTTTCCAACTTTCCTGAGGGGCTACTTCAGGTTGGAACCCTAAGCAGGTTTGCGGAGAGCCCCCTAAACAATACTGCCGGTAAATATTGGATTTCAAGTTTTGTGTCAAAAAGTAAAAGAGCATACGTCCCAAGAAAAGTGTAGACACCCAAAGCCCTGAGCCCCAAATCCAAACAACCATGGGCTCCGAGACATCTGACATGCACTCCTGATGTTACGCCTTTCACACTAAACTCGTGAATGAAGAACACCCATTATAACTCACTTATATTAAAGGAAAAGAGCACTATAAATGAAGCATAATTTGCCCATTCTGGCACTTAACTTTCAGGCTTTGAAGAGCTTTTATGCACTTCGTTTGCTACATTTAGTTCGTGCAATTAATTCACGTAATCATTTACTGTTTGCACGTCCACCCTAAGATTTGAAACCCTGAAGCCTGCGCCCCAAGAGCTGAAGCCTGAACAACCCACAACCCGCACCCGCAACCCGCAACCCGCAACCCGCAAGCCACAAGCCACAAGCCACAAGCCACAAGCCACAAGCCACAAGCCACAACCCTGAACCCTGAACCCTAAACCCTATACCCTAAACCCTATACCCTAAACCCCAAATTGCACGGCTCTTGGGTGGGCGCGAGGGGCCTGTTTAAACCTTGTGCTGGACGGCTTGAAGAATTCTAATGGTTTCCGAAACTCCTTTTCAGACGTACTGACTTTCGAACCTCCAAACCCTGCATGCGTAGGAGTGCTCCTATTCCGCGTGTGCGGGTGTGGGTGGGTGTTCGTGCTGTTTCGTTTGTTTTGTGAGCACAATGAATGGCCTGATTGAGCTGAAGTTTTGAAGTCGCGATCTACGCCATGAATTCGCTATTTCCTGCGAACTTGGATGCAAAAGCATTTTCTTGGCCTTCAGGCCCTCAGGCTGCTCCATATAGGGGCCGTAAAAATCAGAATAGGATTATAGTGTAGTAATAAAGGGACCAGAAGGGAATCGTACTAGTAACAACTCCGACCGGCCCCTATCACATGCAGCTGTTTAGGGAGCATGCTCGGTGTTCAGGGCTTCGGCTAGCTTAGGGCTTAGGGGTGCTTCGTGACGCTTACTATGCTGTGCTGCCGGGCCACTCTGCAAACACCTGCGGTGGAACTGATGTGAGCATGGAATTTCCTTGGCTGTTCCCATCGCCAAGAGACCACAGCGTTCCAAATCGTCCCCGAAAAGGCACAGTATAGGGGGCTTAATAATTAGAATAGGGTTTTGGGGGGTTCTCATAGTACATTTGTAAAGCGACCATAAGGGAATACCAGTAGAAATTTTCCGACCCTACATTAACCCCTCAACAAAACCCTAAACTGGGACCTGCTGAGACCCTGGCAGTGCAAAGCCATAAAGGGAGGTGGGCTTTGCACGTCTCGAAGCATGCAGCATGCATGTTAAAAAACTGGCGCATGGAAGGCATCGGTCTTGAGGCTCTCGCGCACTGTACCTAGACCGTACTGGAAAGCCAGCATAAACCATTGAGGGTTTCCGAAAGGAGGGGTACCTTATTGGGGTCAGCCCGACACGAGTTACCAACGTCATCGCCCTATCTCGCGCATGGCCGAGCGGCCGTATCCACATCTGACTCCAGACAGATGGAGCAATCTTCTTTGTGGACGGCATACGGCGGCGCCTGGAGCAAAAGCAGCTTTGCAAAGCGTTTCTTGCGACAGCTGAGAGCACGATCAAATCAGACCATGCTTCAAACTCTACCCTCACTTTTAAGCCCTAAAGCCCTAAACCCTATAGAGCCGAAAGCCCTCAAACTAAAGGCATGAACCCTAATTAGACCCTAGGTTTGGGGACCACAAGGAGTCTGCTTGAGGACTGCGACCTGACGGCTTAGTGTTCTCGGACTTAGGGATTTTCGGGATCAGGATCTTGGGTTTGGGGTTTGGGGTTCAGGGTTTAGGGTTGAGGGTTTAGGGTTTAGGGCTGAGGGAAGTTTAGGGTCGAGAGGTGTGCGTCCGACGCCTTCACCTTCTGGCACACGATCAACTCTGCCACATGTTCCTGGGCTTAGGGTTTAGGCTTTAGGGTTTAGGGGGACAAGACAAATACTGGACCCTAAAACCCAAGATCAGCCCAAAGGGCTACTAAGTCGAAACTAACTGGGCTTAGGGTTAAGGGTTAGGGTTTGGGGTTAGGGTTTAGGGGTTAGGGTCTAGGGTCTAGGGTTTAGGGTTTAGGGGTTAAGGGTTTAGGGACGTGCCGCCAGGCTTCAAAACTGAACCTGATCTCCCGCAGCTTGGGGAAGCGGCGGATCGCGGTGTCCAGCCTGAGGCGGAGCCCTAAACCCTAAACCCTAAACCCTAAGCCCTAAACCCGAAACCCTAAACCCTAAAGTGCTCCGTATTTAGGCTTAAGGGTGCCTGTTGCACTTCAAGACTTCGGGGTTGGGGCTTCAGTTGGGGTTTGTGGCTTCAGCGCTTGGGGTTTGGGGTTTGGGGGCTTTGAGGTAGGGTTCGGGGGGCTTTCAGGGCTCAGGGTGCAGGCTAGACTTGGCGCACTGCGGGCTGCGAGCTGCAAGCTTTGCTGGTTCGTACCAGGGAATTCAGGAATTTTGGTAGCCGATATAGTGCCTTAGGGTTATATGGGGGGATGTTGAGCGCCCATAATTTCCTGCTTGGAACTTTCAAGAAAACTGAATGTCTGAGCCATCGGCTCTCTCTTGTACGATGTTTGGCCCGTATCTGCAGAGCGACTCCTCTACCACTCCTGTAGCCTCGTGTAGACGTGGTGCCCAACCTCCCCCTTCATCTTCCTCACCGCGTCCTAGGTTTCCGAGCGAAGCGCAACATGAATATGTAGGGTAGCCATTGCTGTTGGCTTATGAGCTTATAACTTACGGAGGGAAACTAGCTGCTTTTCCCTTTGAGAAGAAGAACGGGGACACCACTGGCAGTCCTAGCTTCGTCGAAGTTCGGGAATTGATGCGCCGACTCGGCCCATTCGATGACTGCTCTGGCTGCCTTCTCTGCATCGTCTGGCAATGGGGCAGGATATGAGTGTCACTGGGCTTGCCCGAAGCTTGCGCTGAGTACTCCTTGTAGAAATTGCTGCATGGATTGCCAGGTCTGATCTCGAAGCATGCGCGAGACGAGAGGGAAATCGACGAACTCGGCGAGGTGATTCTGTGAGGGACTGGCGACATCAGGTAGCGACCATGCAGACCAGGATGATGAGTAGAATGTCCCCTCCCAGAACAATCCGAGGTACCAGCTGTGAAGGCGGGCAGGAAACATAGCATTATAACAGTCCGCGATGAAGTTGTCCAGCGCCTGCTGTGTGTCCTGGTTGTGCCGTTGCTCGCGCCGTTGCTCGAGGGTGCTGAGGTGTTCTGCGATTTGCAACAGCATTGTGCAGGCCACTTTAAGTAGCCCATGGCTGCAAACCTCGAATTTGCCCAAAGCCCCAATGAGCTGACTGCACCGCAACTGCCGTGCATCCACGCCCTCCGCCAGCTGTTTCCCAGGAGTTCTGCTTCCTTAGTCGCTGAGTGCCCCCCCCCCCCCCCAAAAAAAAAAGTGCACACTTTCTGTTCTCTAAAGGAATTTCTAGCATCCCCAAAAAGTCTAAAGTGTACTCAATCAGCTACCAAGCTTCTGCAAAGGCTTCTCAAGTCTATCATGCCAATCTTCTCGGCAATCTTGTCCCAAGGGATCTCTTGACCTAAACCCTAAACCCTAAACCCTAAACCCTAAACCCTAAAACCCTCTTGACCTGGGCAGCTCTGAGTTCATGTCCCGGGGCCGGTACCCTTAAGCCTTAAGCTTTACAGCAAGAGGGGCCCTACCATTCCAGAGGACCCTAAACCCGAAACCCTAGACCCTAAACCCTAAACCCCAAACCCTAAACCCTAAACCCTAAACCCTAAACCCTAAACCCTAAACCCTAAACCCTAAACCCTAAACCCTAAACCCTAAACCCTAAACCCTAAACCATAAAACCTAAACCCTAAACCCTAAACCCTAAACCCTAAACCCTAAACCCTAAACCCTAAACCCTAAACCCTAAACCCTAAACCCTAAACCCTAAACCCTAAACCCTAAACCCTAAACCCTAAACCCTAAACCCTAAACCCTAACCCTAAACCCCCACCTCGGCTCTCGCGTAGGAGCCTCAGAGCAGCCCCGACGATGCTTTCCGAGTCCGACCCCGCGGCGTCCAGGGAAGCCACGGACATCCTCTGCTCTTGGATCCAGCCTTCGGGGGTTTAGGGTATAGGGTTTAGGGTTTAGGGTTTAGGGTTTAGGGTTTAGGGTTTAGGGTTTAGGGTTTAGGGTTTAGGGTTTAGGGTTTAGGGAGCTTCAGGGCTGATTGCGCACCCAACAACTCCAGAGCATTCGGCTTCGTCAACTCACAAGCTTTGGGTGTACTGTATTGGAGGCTTCTGGGGTTTAGAAGGGCTTAGAACTTATAGGGCTTGGCAGCTTGGCCC